AGAGGGATTTGCTGCAGAAGTTATTATGGTCTATCAGATCAAAAATTCACTTTTAAAGAAGTGTCCAAATACAGATGTACACAATGGGCTCAAATCATTACAGACTGTTTTGCCAAATAATACACATTTTCAAAATAACCATAGCACCTATCACGTATCTCACTCTGCACTTATCCAACACATACGAGGGATTGTGAATTTTTTGAAAAAAAGAGAAAAGAAAATAAAAAAAGGACATAACCACCATTTCAAAATATAAAGATTATATTACAAGTGGTGAAAACTCTAAAACTGTAAAAGGTAGAGTCAGGGTAATTTCTTTCTAATTCACATTGGACAGGTTGTTTTCATATTAGTTATTTTTTATCCCAGGTCCCATCAGAGGAAAAGACATTGTCAGTCTTCACTCTAAGTGTTCTGCATGTTGTCTGCCTGTGTTATTTTAAAAGGTCTGAACAAAGAGGTGGCTGTATCTCAGGCAATTTAGAAAAACCACCAAACTTACAATACATGGTGAATATCTGCGCCTCTTTCCATTTTTCTCCAAAGAAGGAAATCAAGACATCTCTCTTTCATGTCTATTTTGTTTTGTTTTTATAATCACTTCTTTGCGTGGTGTGTGCATACAGAATCACAGAGGCTCAGGTTCATAGGAATAATGACAAAATGAAAGGACTCAAAATTCTCAATGTTAAAAGGCTTGATTAGGATAAATACCTAAATTTCATACACCAATGTAAATAGCCGAGACTTATCAGGAGTTTACTGGTATTTATTAATGCCTTCTTTTTAGGATAGAGGAAGAAGACACTAAAGATAAAATCATCTGCAATTGCTGAGTTCTAAAAATGCTTCCTTAATGGCTTTGTGCTTGCTCTTCGACCAAGCTGTGTGTGTGCTTTCTTCTCTTCCTTCCCGTCTCTTTTGTCTCTCCTATCTGCGCTTCTTCCCATCTTGCTACCTTCCAACTCTTCTTTCCCTCTGCTTTCCTATCTTCCCCTCACCTTTGTCTTTGTGTGTGATGCTCAGAAAAAGACACCAGATTAATTATAATGCTCCTAACTTTGTTTTGACTCGAGAAACTGAAGGCCCTTTGATGTCCTAACTCCTTCTCACTCCTCTTCTCATCCACTCTAGGTTTTAAAAAGAATTTCTTAAAATAGTTGCTGACTATTAAATGAAATTGCTGAAAAATCAGAACCTGCTTTTTCACTCTTTCATCTTTTATCAAAATCAGACTTTTTTTTTTTAATACTCTTCCCATCCTCCCCAACCCTCACTCCCTGCCTTGCTAGAAATGATCCCTTCAAAAAGTCAGCAAAATATTTTGGCTTTCTTCAGCAGCACTTTGGGCTTCTCTGTTACAGATTGTGTAAACATTTTCCAGACAGGGGAACTTGAAGGGTTTAAATTATTTTTTAAATGATGTCTGTATTCTCAGAGATTCATATTTGCAGGAGAAGATGGAGGCAAGGAAAGCTACCACAGAACATAATATGTCTGGAATCAGGGGACTATTGAGCTCTATGCAAATCTGTGGAGGAAAAATATCTTCCTCATACATTATCTACTGCAAGGATTTTTTCGTTTCCCAGACTGATGAAGCAAACACTCTCGATGGATGCAGTCTGTCATTCATATTGGACTCACATATTTTACTTCCTGAAACCAAACAAATACTGATAAACTACTTCAGTGAGCCTTTAATCAAAATTTTGGTGGTACACAGTGGGCGACAGGAAGATCAGTCTGTGGAGCCTAAAACCCTTTCATCATCAAATATACAGAAATAATAATTATATTTATCTGTTTGGTTCAGGCTGCACACCAAGATTTACCCTTGCCCTGAGGACTCAGAAATCATCAGGCATTGTCATCTCTAAAGAAAAAAAAAAATTCCTTAATAACTTGGAGGTTAAATGGTTCTCAATATTTGTGGGGGCTGAGCAAAGAAAATAAAAATAATGCATTACTTTTAGCATCTTTAATAATCTGTGCTATGTGCTAACCAATTAGCACTTCTGATAATAACCCTGAAAGTATCAGAAAGCATCTAGTTGGCCCAATAAAAAAATTTCAAGAGGGAAGAGGTTGTTCCATAATTCTAACTTCCATCCTATTATGAGCTGTGTGCCTGTATAGACATATTTCATTCCAATTAATTCCAGAAACATTTGAAAATGAACAGAAGAGTTGAGTGTGAAAAACACTTGTGATGGAAATAGTTTATCTTCATTTGGATTCCCCTGAAAGCAAACACTCAAACAAGGAATCGGTGAACTCAGGTTATTTTGATGGTATCCCAGGCAGCCAGAGGGAAGAAACAGGGGAAAATGCTTTAGGAAAGCAGGGGAAACAAAGAAGGGTGAGTTTTGAGCTGGTTGCCATGTTGGATACCAGTGATTTCATCCCTCTGCAGTCCCTTCTAGAAAAGTGAACCTCAAAATGATACCAAACTAGCTCAGGGCATTGAACCATTCATCCTCTGACTCAGATCACAATTTAGAGCTGTCCCCCTCCCAGCCAAGACCTTACAGTCCCCATGCTTCCAGGCTAACTTCACTGAGACAACAAGCTAAGACCCAAGAGAAAGCCCATAGCAGCTTGAAGTGGAAAAACACTAGCCTACCCGGGGCTGCTCATGTTGACTGAGAAGACTAAAGTATTAGGGACAGAGGTAACAACATGCTCAGCAAAATAGTTCTTCTTCTGGAATAACTTGAAAAGACAACTTGATGAGCCTTTATCCATCCCTCCCTTGTTGCTTTAATATAAACACCACTCCTCGCCTCTACTTCCTCCTGAGATCCTCTTTGCCACAGTCTTCTTCTGATATTCCTTTAGTTTCTTTCTTCCTATGAGTATTAAGAATTGTGGATCAAGCGCTTAATTTAGTCAAGACTTAACACATAGCCCTAGAACTGCCATCAAAACACTTTGATGTTGTAGGCTTTTAGGCAGGTGATTGAAACATCACCTGATTGCTAACACAGATGTTGGGAGACATCAACTGATGGCTCAAGTAGTTGGATTCTTGTCATCCATGTGCTTGATCTTGATTGTGTTTTGCCTCCAGCCCAGCTCCAGCAATTCGTGGACATTAGGGGAGTAAACTAGCAGATGGGAGCAACCTCTCTTGCTTTCTCTTTCTCAAACACAGAAATAAATTAACAAAACTAAAGAAAACAATGTAAGGTCATTTTATTATTAGAATATTTGCATTAAAATAGCAAGAGAGTCTCTTACTTGTTACTGGGGTAACATATAAATTAAATCCTTCATTGGGCTGTTTATACAGTAGGAGCAAGGAGGGAAAAAGGGAAGAGTTATTGTGATTTTGTGAGAATTTTTCCTGGTCCAATTTAGGTATATCCTGTAAGCCCATTATTTTGGGTATATTCACTCATTTTGAGAATTTCACTGGTCATTCATGTTGGTTTCAGTATAATGACTGAAATCTATGGGTCATTGGGGTCTCTGTTTAGAACTCAGTGTTACAATGTGTACAGTAGCTATATCTTTAATTAAAGAGAACACACAGCTGCTTTAATTACAGGGCCCTTGAGAGATAACAAGATATAAGTAGCATGACCAGATGAGAGTCAACTGTTAAAATTGTTTCCTGATAATATATGTTTAGCTCCAGAGGCCAAGGCTCACAAAGTCTTTCCCACACAGCATCAAGGTGTCAGCAGGAAAGGGCTGCTGGGAATAACTAAAATGTCTCTCTTCATTGAGAGAGGCCCTTACTGTGAACAAAGACCAAGTTGTATGGTGGTAGTGTCAGAGTCACTTCTGGCTTGTTTTGTCATCAAAAAAAGACCTGGACATCAGAAAACCACAGGGGAGTGTCCCAGTGTGGATGTTATCTAACATTTAAGTCTGCCCTCAGTGAATCTAACGTTAGGAGCCAAACAACTACCTCTAGCCATCTCTGAGCTCTAAGGCCCAGTTCATTTGCTTTTATTTTTATTGTATATAATTTTGAAAAGATTAACAATGATACATTTTACTAGTTTTCAATCCACAGGCTTCTTTTAGTGGTTTCCCAAAAGGGTGAACAGAATGGCACTGTGAACAGAAAGTCATGTGCCACAGACACTTCCCAACTCTAAGGTTATTATCCATCACATTCCTAGAACGAAATGCACATCCTGCCCTTCTAGCACTTCTAACTGTCACCAAGCCTAACTCCTTCCACAACTCAGGACAGGACACCGTTTAAGAACACAGAGCTTGTTTCCTGCTTACCGTAGTTCCAGGAGTCTCTTCAAAGTAGCCCCCTGCAGTAAACAACTCACACACCAAAGTGGTTTCCCTCTTGAATCTTTATCACCTCAACCAGAGTCCTCCAGGACTGTGACAACAGTGCAAAGGGGCCAGGAGGGTCATGCATTGGGAAGAAGAAGGTTAAAGCATCGTGTGGAAGCGAACCAGGTCAGCTCATTGCCCATTGTCTGGATGGCACTACTAGTTGGGAAAGGCCAGAGATAGATGGGGAAGCACTGTGATTCAGGCAGCACTCAGCTTTGCTTCTACACTTCTCAACAATATGGTGTTTCTACCCTGAAAAAAACCTATTATTTCTCAAATGCCGTGCTTCATTATTTTATCTTCAATCACAAGCTCAGGAATATTTCCCAAGCATGTAGTATTTTTGTGTTATTTCATTTTTAGCCATGTTTTTCTTTTTATGTTTAGTCTTCAAGAAGCCATAATTTAAGACAATTTTTTTGATAATAGTCTGGTCATGAGTAAGTTTCTGCAGATGTGACACATACTCAGCATTTTAGGAAGATCTTAAGCTCAGGGAGGGCAGAGACTGTGTTTATTTTCATCATTGAATCTACCACTACTGGATACTGCAACATCAGGAAGTATTCCCAATGTGTGCTAGACTCTTAATTCCTCCCATGGCTAATTCTACCTGAAGCAAATCTACATTTCCTCACACTAGCAATGGCTTTCCTAGGCCTCTGCTTCTGTTTCTCTCTGATCCTTCCCCCATATACACAGTCACCTGTGTAACAATGATGAACATAGTAACAAGGGTTTACAACTTACAGTTCTTTCACAAGCATTTCTTCCTTCAGCTGTCAACACCTCTGTAAGATATGCAAAACAGGTATAATTATTCCAAATTTATAACGAAGAGGCAGCACATCAGAAGTTCTAAACTTCCATCTTTGAATTCAGGCTTTCTTTGGTCATCCCCCTATCCTAGCTAATGCATGTCTGAATGCTTTTATTTGTCTGCTTACACATTCCCTCACTTGTCAGTCCTCCTTCACCCTACCTTGCCATGTTTCCTCACGTTTTTCTGGACTTGGTTCATACCCTCTTTCCTCCAGAATATCTTTTTAAACTGCTTTACACCAAACATTCTTCTCTCCCTCGGCTTTTTGGGTATTTGGATTAATAATCCATGCCAGGATCATAATCCATTCATGCTCTGAATCTTCTTTCTGAATTAAACAGAAATTCTGGTGGAAAGAAATGGCATCTTATACCAATTGTTCTATATCCCTTAAGCATTTAGCTATGTGCGTGGGGCATGACCGTTGATCATTCACACGACACTTTGAATCAAGAGGAAAGGAGACTTTGAGGATTATCCACCTTCATTGAAGAACATAAGCCACAAATGGCAACCGGAGTGACTCTGCTTACAGAGATATTTCTCAACTCTTACATTTTTTAAAGCCAACCTAGTTTTAGATCAATCAGGAAGACGTTTTGTTTATGAATTTGCATATATTCTTATGAAGAATTAAACATCTATTTTTTTAAAAGCTACATTCTGTAAAGACATAAGAAATGGGACAAGAATCATTAACACCCTTCTGATTACTGAAAGCAGAATAAAGAAAGCAGAAGATTCATCCACTGTCAACTGAAATGATGTCCTCTTTCTCAAGGAAAAATGAGGCAAAGGAAGATTTTTTATGGGCTTAAATAGAGATCCTCCAAAGCCTCAACTTAAAATTAGTGAATACAATGAAACTCATTTTGTAGCTACTTTCCTTTTTCTTGGGGAATATATTCTGCATAATCCACCTGCTATGTAAAGTAATACATATTTTCATTTTTCACAAAGGCTGACTCTATTTTAAATATGCTGAAAGTTGCAGAAATTTATCTGTATTTTAGGTAATATATCTCCTAATAACTTTTATCTTAGATAGTGGGACTAGAAAAATGTTATAGTATTTCTGGCCTCGGTATATTGCTTCCTCAAGTAGATAGGCCAAATATTCTTTAAAATTAAAGTGTCTCATATATTTAATACTCTACTCTAACATATTGGAACAGTAAGAAACATACTTAAACAAAATACTATGCCTCTCAGTTGCCAGTGAGATTTTGTAGCTGGTGAGGAAAACACATGGCATTTGAGTTAAAGAGAGTAGCTGTAATTCCCCATGCTTATCATCAACATCTTCAAATCACACGCTTCCGTAGCCCAGCCTTCTCCTGGCTTACACTCATAATTCTTTTGAACTTTAGAGAGTAGGGAAGCTGGTGAATGGGGAAGGAGATAAAGATGTGGGTGAAGTTTCTAAAGGGTTGAGTGAGATATGTATTTAGATATGCAGAAACATAATTTCACATTAGGATCAAGGAAAGGGAAATATACTGGCTTATTCCTCCCTCTACCCAAAAGAAAGATCAAAACGCCAAGACAAAGTAGGCTATGGTGAAGTTTTAAGTATATATACTTTCCAATTATTCAGGGCATTTACATTAATAGTACTGACAGAGATTCTGTGATTAGTTTGGTTCCCTCACCAAGAATATTAAAAGATAGGGGTTGACATAAAAAGCTAAGTCAATGCAAACTTTTGTTACAGATGTCAAATTTGTTAATTATTCACAATAGATTATTCCTTTGAACTGAGCAATAAGTTTAATTGCAAATGTTTTAAATCATTTTTCTCTCCCCTCATTTCATAAGGAAAATGAAAGAAGGTATAGTTTATGTTCAAAACAAAGGCAAAAACTATTTGTGGGGCTAATATAGCAAAAGTTACTTTATCCCTAGATGTTCAAAAAAAAAAAAAAGGAAAGGAAGTATCAGCAAAATATGGCTGGAGCTGGTGGGGTCTGATTACACTAGGCACTTTTTTTTGTTGAGACAGGAGAAAGATTTATGTTCCTCAGTAAAAGAATGTGTGTTGCCTGAATGATTCTGAAAGGTAACTGCACAGAGGCTGATGGGGAGATAAGGAAGCAAATGCTCACAAAGATATGTGTTGGGTCAGAGAGAGACATGCAGAGGGAAGAATGTTAAACACCTCGTCCTGGGCACTGGAATGATCACAGATGATTGTTTTTAAAAGCACCCTTTACAATTCCACTTTATACATCTGCTTGTTTTTGAAAATCTCAAACACATATATCTACAACCTAATGTCGTAGATGTATAAACACACATATCTACACATATCTACAACCTAACGTTGAACTTCCAATACAAGACTGACTTTCAAAGACTAAAGTTGCATGAAGAGAACTGAGTGTTATTAGGAGCCATCAGATTAAGTCACTGATTCAAAGTGAAATAGAAGGTATACTTTACAACTGTAGGCAAAAGGTGAGGACAACTCTCCACTTTGGTGGTATTACCAGGTGACTCAGGGTCTTGAGTAACTTCCATCTTGAATCCTCATCTAAGGTACTTCAGTTATGAAAATGGAGACGGAAAATAGGAGAAAAGGAGAAAAGGGGGAAAGAAATACAGGCAGAAAGGAAAAGAAATTATAAAGATGTGTAGGAGATCCATCCACTTTGAGTTGTTTTGGGTGAGAGGGAAGAGATAACAGAACACTGCCACTTGTGTCCCATCATAAAGAAGAATTCAAGGAGGAGGTGGCACAGTGGCATATCAAGTTAATCCTCCACCTGTGGCGCCAGCATCCCACATGGGAACCTGTTTGTGTCCTGGCTGCTCCACTTCTGACCCAGCTCTCTGTTTATGACCTGGGGAAAGCAGCAGAGGATGGATCAAGTGTTTGCGGCCATGGACCCATGTGGGAGACCTGGAAGAAGCTCCAAGTTACTGACTTTGAATCAGCTCATCAATGCCCGATCCAGCCATTTGGGCAGTGAACTACTTGATGGAGATATCTCTCTTTCTCTCTGCAAATACCTTTCCAATAAAAACAAATAATTTTAAATGGTATTCAAGGAAATAAATCCTTATACACAGAGGCTGAGAAATGCACTCAAGGGGAAATTAGTAACTGACATTCTCCCCCAATTTATCTCAGAATGCAATCAAAAAGTCTAAAGTCCTAAAATTCCCAAACTAGACCTCATAGGCCACTGAGACCCAAGCAGTTGACACTGCTTATGAAGATGGAGAGTCCTCACATAGACTGTTCTGAATGGAAATATTTTTTCTTGAGGAGATTCTGGGACACAGAAAAGATCCTGCAAAGACCTTTAGTCACGACCTAAATTCACTTCCTAACAGAGGTTAGGACAAACAAAAATTTTTGGAAAAAAAATCTGATATAAAATTTATTCTGCAGATTCAAAACACTACAGTATAAGGACATACATTAAGACAATTTTGTAAGTGCTGGATTTTTGCCTATCTTATCAGATAGGTCCTTTCCCTAGCTCCTGTTTTATAAACAATGTCTCGTGAACCAGAATTTTGATTGTTTCTTGAATCAGAATTTTGATTGGTGACACACACACTCAGATCATAATCTGTTGGTCAGTTGTTTTACTTAAAACTAAACTGGAGCTCTGAATTGAGGAAATTCTTTTTACTGATGTTTTGCCAAGGATCTTATTTTTAAAGAGCTTTATCAATTAAACACTCTGCATACACTGAATTATGATTAATTTTAAGGGTTTTATAAATCAAAGTTTGAATGTATATACATGTCTGGGTCAAAACTCTCTTGAAGGTCCACTCAGTTGAGATGCAAGGGGAAAAGAATTACTCTGTCTGTGAAACTACATTCAGTGTTTTGAGGAAACACAGGCATAGCTGAGCTAACCCTGTACCACTAAACATACAGAGAAACACACAAATAAATGCTATCTTGTTAATTCTGAAAACATATATACACTGATTTGCAAAAAGCCACTTAAAAAGTACTGAATGATTTTTCTTTCAAAAGTCTTCAGAAATATTTATAATTTTTCATTCCACTTAAAAGAATTTAATTTTATCTGCTTTTCCAATAATTTAACCAATTTCCAGTCTCTGACCTAGGTAAGAAGGCACTTAGTTTAAATCCTTTTGTCTTCAGTAGAGTATGTTAGGAGGAAAACGGGAGTACTACATTAAGCTGGCTTCATTAAAACCAAAAGCAAGAAACTTGTCATTTAAGTCAGCATACGCCGTCTTACTCCAGGCAAACCTACAATTTCAATTAAGCTCTTAGAAATACTGTAAATTGCTCATGAGCCTCATTACTACTTTTAAGGCTCCTAGAATTCTACAGCATCGCAACAAGGAAATTCCCAACAAAGCATTGTGGATAAATTGCATAAAGCTTTATCAAGCAATGCACACAGTCTTAGGTTGTGCTACAATAATAAAAGATCATAAACTGGGTATTTAAACAACAAAAATCACAATTCTAGGACTACAAAGCCTGAGATCAAGGGATCACGGTTTCTTGTGAGGACCTCTTCCTGGTTTGCAGATGTCCATGCTGTTTCCGGGTGCTCACAGGACGGCAGCCTCTTTACAAGAGCACTAACTCCATTCATCAGGGCTCTACCCTCATAAGCTAACAACTTCCTAGTGTCTCATTTCCAAAATAACAGCACTTTGGATTAGGGTTTCGACACAATGATTCTGTCCATTGCATGTTATACACACACACACAAATGCACACACATAAACATGTATTGATGACTGTAATTTTAAAAAGAGGTAGAATGTGGACTTGAAAGGCAAGTTTATTTCGGCACAAAGAAAGTTTTTAAAACTCAAGCATAATACGCATTATCCATGAATTTTTGAAGATCTTTCTATATATGCATTTAAAAAAAATTTTTTGCAAGAAAACAGACATCTTTGAATTTCCATTTTCTATGCACATTTGAGGCACACTCATACATCCTTCCCAATGTATGT